ATCAGGTACCCAACACTTGGGCTTATGGGGAGATGGGAATGAGGAACAGAATCAGCCCTTCCATCATATGACCTAGCTGAATTACACTGAGGGAAAGAGAGGATGTTGGCCCCAAAGAAAAAAAGCTGGTCACACAAAAGCTAAATGTCCTGCAATGAATAAGATGCAGACTCGGGAATGGAATTTAGGTCCCTCTCATAACAACTGGCTGGTGTTTCACCAAGAGAAAAACACCATAGGAGTGCCTAAGTAGAAAAGAAAATAAATGCTTTGCACTGTACTTTGAGAAAAGGGGTGGGGGTCCTCTAACAACTTATATGCAGTATGTTTCCTTTGAAAAGTACAGAGGTTTTACAGATGCTAAATGCCCCAGTGAGAGGAATAAACTGTGGCCCAAGCTTGCTGTGGCTACTGTGAAATGACCACTCCACTCACACATATGGATGACGGCTGTCTGCCAACAATGAAAACTTAATTGCCTGAACTACTTTTGGCCTCATTTAACTTGCCTATTTACACGACCATAGATGCCTTGCTCCTCGGAGCCATAAAATTTTAGCATGGGAAAGGACTTTACAGATCATTTGATCCAATCCCCTCATTTTCCAGATGGAAACAACTGGAGTCCAGAGAGAGTTATTAACCAGCACAAGGTCACCTAGTAGCTTTAACGTAGGCCAAGAAGTAGATCCCAGGTTTCCTAGTTTCCCATACTGTGCTCTTTCAAAAAACGCACAATGTCAAAAAGTTATCCAGTGATCCAAGTCAATGTTAATTTGTTTCTTCTCCCACCAGGAGGATCATATAAGTATTTGGGTGAATTCGGAAACATGACACACTTAAAATCATAAAATTTTAACAAATATACACTGATCACTACCATCAGAAGGCAATAAGTTTCAGTAAAAAATGACAGTATTCAATATTTAGGGCTGACCTTGTATGAGGTCTACCTTGGCTATTTCTCCATTCTCCAGTGGGTGCTTAGTGCTCAGTATTCCCGAATGTTCTTAAATTGATCCCGGTTCCTAAGCAACTGCTTCTCCCATGGCAAATACCCTCTACCAGAATTGGGGTTTTCCCTATTAAAAAAAATGACTTCTTCTGTGGACCCTTATCCTAGGATCACAAAAGATTACATGAGTATATTTAAGTTACTATCAAATCAATATTTAATACTCTGAGAAATAAGACCTTCACATAAAATTATATTTCTTCCTAAATTTCCCTTTTAAAATTGAATCTGTTGATATAGTTTTTGTTGTTGTTTATTCTATTGTTTTTGTCTCTAGCTGTTCATTTAATGGTCACAGATACAATTCAGATACTTTTACACAGAAAACCTTACTTCCTGAAATGAATTAGCTATGACTCTCTGGGTCTGAACAAATCATGAAATTATTCTGTATAAGATAATCAGATATATAGGACCCCTCTCATAAGTTATGATTTAGTTTTCTAGGCCTCATAAAAAGTCTTTCAAAATTGAGTCAAACTTACTTGAGATGCTTGAGAATCAGATAAGAGGGCAAGGAAAGACACTTAAGTTAGCCCATTCACTCTATTCACATTTCCATCCATTTTTCCTATATACCTTAAAGGAAACCATCCTCCCCTTTATTTTTCTATGTTTTGACTGTCTACATCTACATAGTAAAAGTAATGTATGTTTGAGATTCCTTACACAGGCAACCAGATCAGAGATCAAAAGAGCACTGTTACTGTCTAAAGAGATTTTTGAACCTCCTTGACTCAACTCTTCCATCACTGGCCAATGTCAAGTCCTTGGGAATGTAGCCAACCCTCAAGAGAAACAATATATCTAGTTCTAGATGAGCTCAATCCAGACTCAAAGTCTATAAATCTCATATTAAGTCTTTGCTATCAATTTTCATCTCTGCCTAATTGTTCCCTATATTATAAATTTGTTTCCATTTATCTCAATCTGGGGCATATAAGGAAGAAATTGTTCACAGAGCCCTTTTCTCTAATGAAAGTCAGGAGTGACAAGTTTGACAAAAGTGACAAGTGACGAGTGGTATTGAGCATTCTAGTTCTTCTGATTTTCAATCTGTTTTACTGAGATATGTACTACCAATTTGTGTAAGTATTGTGTCTTCTCCATCTTGGTCCCAAGTGAAGTAAGTGGGCCAAAGGCTGAGTTATGAGAAAAAGAAACAAATAGTTGAGTTTCATTACAATATAATGGATATTATCTCAAAAAATTAAGATCATTGCATTGGACTAATGTCTCCTTAATAACAAAGCTATACCTTTCTTCTGATTTTTTTTCCTTAAGAGGTAACCTTAAGTTTAAATTTACATTATGATTACAGCCTTTCTTTTATAAGTTGAAGCACATTATTTTGGTCCATTGAGCAAACTCATTCTTATTCATTGCCTTTTAAAGTTGACATTTAACTTCCACAGCTGTACAACTGGCAAGAAGCAAAAGAATATTTAATATTCAAGACAGCAGATTCTAAACCCCCACAGCATTCTATTATATGGACTGTCCTTTAATTAGTGTATATTACCTGAAAGAAAGAATTACTTATGGAATTAGCAAAGGACAGTTGAAGGTGCTCATGTGTTTATTTCCTTGCTAATACTCATAAATCAAATAACACAAAGAAGTTCTAGCAGTTCAAATTAATAATAAGGGCTGGTTTTCTGAAACACCATGTCTTCTAATGCATTTATCAAAATAGAATTGAAGACATCATTGTGTTCTTCAGGTCTCAAATTCCTAAATCAAATAAGAAATTAGATACACCCCCTTTTATTATAATTTGTTGTTCAACATCAGAAGTAATTAACTTATGCATTCAAATACAATCATGGTGCACCTGCTACGGGTCAGGACTATATTAGGCACTGGGGATGGAACTGTGACAGTCCTGCCCCTCAGAGCATTGAATTCAGAAAGAAACACAAAAAAAGGAAGTAATGGCAAAAGCAAATAAATAGTGTTAGTAAAAAAGAAGCACACAGCGCTATGAACAGCCATGAGGAGGGGTCTATGAAGTCATGGGAATAGGGGTGTTAGGTATGGGAAGGTCCTCTGGAGGAGGCCAACTTCAGAGTTAAAGTTGAACAACACATAGAATCTTGCTTTCCTCAAGAGCTCCTCAAATATTTCATTAGAACCTTAGAATCCACAAGAATAGATAGAACAGAAAGGAAGAAAGAAACAAATTTTGGAAGCATAAAAGAAGATGGATAAGGTAGCAGAGAGCCAAATTCTAAGATATCAAAGGGTGACTGAGGCAGAGCTATTCAAGAAGCAGTTAGAGCTCCAAAGGTCCTCCTCCACTGCAGAGCAACTGCACCTCCCCTGGTAAACTTCCCTTGGGGCTCCACCTCTGGTAATCTGACCAGCCCAAAAGGAAAGTCTGAAATTATGACACTAAGGCTGCTTTGAAAAGCCGACCCAGCTAGATTCCTCCAATGATGCTTGCCCATAGGCTCCCAGCCTTATTGTTTAATTATGAACAAAAACCAAGAATTGATGACGAACCATCTGAGGAAAATGCTTCTCACATTGAAGATAGATGCCATACAAACAAAAATTAAAACTAAATAAAAAGCAGCTTTGAGTGAAGACTATGTGTGAGAAGAAATTAAAAGAAAAACAAACTATCATTAACCGTCCCAGATGGCTAAGGGAAGATATTGTGATCATGAAACCCCAAAAGGATCTTAAAAAAACAGAATAATTCAGAAAACAAAATTCATTAGTAGCATTGTAGTAATAGAGAGCAAAGTAAATACTAAAGATAAAAAGAAAAAAAAAAGAGAAAAAAGACAAGAAAATCCAAGGAATCAGGCCAAGCAACCCAATATCCAAGTAGAAAATTTCTGAAAGAGAAAACAAAATGAATCAAGAATGAAAGAAATCAAGAAAATTCTCCTAAAGTCACAGTTGCTGTTCTAATTGTTTTACATATCTTAATTTGCTTAGTTCTCACAACAATCCTGTAATACAAAATCCAATATCAAGAATTTTGTCATGTTTGTAAGTATATTTCCGTATCACTTACCTGTATATTACAAAATATGTGTTCTTTAGAAAGATGAGTGGATAAGAAATTTCCTTTTTTGTAGTGGTAATTAACACTGTTCCCCAAATAATTTCTATTATCAGTAAAAATGCATCAATCTCTTGCTCTACAGTCCATTCTGTTTTCACAGTAGTGCTCCAAGAGGTTGTTGCAAACCCTGAATTAGCAAGCATTGAACCACCGTTGTTCTTAAGGGCAATACAAGGTTAGGTTCCTGAAAGCGTCTGGTCATGACATGTCACTGCTTGATCAATATATGACCTTATTTTGTGCGTGTTTCTGTTTAAAGACATCTTATTTAGAATATATTGTCACTTCATCAACATTGAATTCACCACCAATAGCACTATCATCATTACCTGAATAAAGTTTATCTAACACATGGATTTTCTCCAAAAGGCACATCACAGCTTTATTGTATTTAGGGACATGATGGCACTTCAGCACTATGCTTGGGGGACATTTTAACAACGAGATCAACAAAAAACATAAAAGTTAGAAAAGCATGGCACTAAATAGACTGTGAAGGGACAGTCGTCTACTGCATGAGAACTAAAACAAGAAGGCAGATCACCTCCATATTTTACTTCAGCTGAAAGTGTGAACATCAGGTGACTTAACATTTTGCCCATGTCTGCAAGTAACTGCATCAGTACCACAAGTATTAATTTGAAGGTTACAAATAAATTTTAGAGAGTTAGGAGAATTTGTAAATACAGATGTGCAAATAATGAGGATTGGCTTGCATTATTCCTTTTATTATTGTTGTTGTTATTATTATTAATGTTATACCTCTTGATTGAAAAAAAATTTTGTTAAGGAAAATCTGAAATGTCATGTAAAGTCGTTTTGTTGACCTTGGCATACCCTCATGCCTTCAATCCTCTGGATCAATAAATATTTTATACAACCTGCAGCAGTTCGGGGGCTACTTACATTTTGTTCCAATCTGGTGGATGTCTGGTAAAAAGAGCCCCAAAATCTGTTGCAGGCAACCCTGTATCCCTGTAAACAAGATGGGACAGCAATTTTTAATAATATGTGACAGACTGCTATAAATAAATTATAAAAGCTGTATAAAATGAATTTAGGGTTGAATGTTTACAATTATTTTTACAGGGTTTTATGTTTGCAATGTTTATACACTTTGAAAAATAAATGTCTAAGTAAAAGGAAATTTTAACATTTTGTCATTACTTTGACTGCCTTTTCCAAAAATAACAATAAAAGACAAAGTCGATGTCATGCTCTTCCATGAAGAGGCACTGGCAAGGACTTGCACACACATAGAAACAACTAGAATACAAGTCCAGCTCTCACGTAGGACATAACATACTCCAATGGCAGGGATACCAGAGCAATTAATTCTGGTTAATGACATTTACCTAATTCTGACAGCATTTCCGGCAATATTTCTAGATACATTGCATACTTTATCTCATCTAAACTTCTGAACCACCTTTTGAGGTGAACAGTTTAGTCTTTCCCATTTTATAAGTGTACAAACAGGATTGTATGCACCAAATAACTTTCACATTTGTGAAAGTGGGGTTCAAACTTAGGTAGTCAGAAAATGTATAAAGAGGAAATGAGATTTTTAGCTGGACCAAGAACACGTGAAAGTGTTGACTGGCAAACCATTGAGGGAAAAGGAATTCCAAAGAAGGGGTACAGCACGAGAAGAAAGTTTGAGGCAAAAAAAATAGGAGGGGTATCTACATTACTATTAATACAAATCCTTTCCTGCAAGTTCAGGTCCTATAAACAAAAGAAGGTATTTAGAATACCTCTCAATAATCCCAGAGCACATTGTTTCCTCATTTAATAAGGGCTTGCTCTTTATTTCAACGAAGTTTTTGTTTGAAAAACCTTGTGCCATCTCTTCGTGTGTTTCTGATATCCAAATCTGGAAAAATAGAAGCCACGTGTAAGAAAAATGAATTAATCACCAAAAATGTCCAGTTACTAAAATATTTTCCCATTGAAGTGCATTCTGATTTTAATTATTGACTCCTTCACATTAAAAAATAATATAGCCCTCAACTATATTTTATCATGAATATCTAAAAATAGCAATTTTTACTATGTGTTGTTGGAAAATAAAATCAAATTAGTTGTTCCTATGAAATAGAAAGTGTTTCATTCAACTAAATACTAATTTTTATCTACTTTCTATTTCCTTCTTTATCCTTCTCAGGGTTTATATATTTAACTTCCCTAAGTAAGAAAACATTTGTCGCAATCACTTTTTAAATAAAAAAGGAGTTTAGATATCATCATCATTGTCATCATCATCATCATTGTTATCCATTCTTTATTAGGGAGGATAATTTGATAAATATCAAGCAATTATTACTATGGGGGATAATCTGAAAACTAATGTTTTCAGACCAATTGCAGAAGCATCATGGGTAGCATCTAAGGAATCTTGGCAAGAAAAATGGAGCTAAGGAGTCAGTATTTCACCCATATGAACCTCTAGATCTGAATCTGGAGGTTCAGAGCAGAGAACCAGAACTCATTACCAAAACAACCCACTCTTTTACCTGAGCCCAAAGACAAGGTTCCCCCAAACATCCAGTGAAATCTCAGAACACAATAATCCCACTAGATGTTTTGTTTCACACAAAGGCTTACCACTCTTTAGAAACCTGAAGCCTCCAATTGCAGTAGTATCACAGCTGTAGTCCAAGAGGTTTGGTCTACTTCCAGTTAGCAAGAAGGCTCTGCCATAACTAGGATCCTACCCAACTCAAGATAGTTTTAACCATAGTCTCTGGGCCTGGATCCCTGGTCTACACCACCGATCTCTGACCACTGTTCTCTAAAACCTCAACTTACCAAATCATTAGTCTCCCAGCCCAATTTCCCAGCTGTGAACTGTTCTTCCTCTAAGATTTCACCACTCACCAGTCAATGCTAAGGGAGCCTGGATTGGACCTCATGTTATACATTTTAACAACAAAGGAAGAAAAAATATATTTGGGGAAGCAATTAGCATCCACCTTTTTTTAAGGTATAAAATTGAAAATTTGACATGAGCTATGTTCTGGTCATTTTCAACAGTAAAATATTTCAATAAATCCACCGACCCTTCAGAAATTATGTGCAGCCAAGATATTGCCAAACATGAAATAATGCAGGATTAAAAGGAAACAGATAATGATAGCATTAGTATATGCATTATTTCACTGAATACAAAGAGCAACGCTGTGACTTGTTTACCCATCATGGCCTCAGAAGGAAAAGACCAATCAAATGGGGAACTGGGGAGAATATAAGGATCCATTTATAAAAGTATGGTGAACATTAAGATCTCAACAATGTTGAAGTACTCTGAGAATAGTCAGAGAAGAGCCATATGGTAGAGCAGTTACTGAACCCAAAAAAACCTACAGCTATAAAGACAGTGCAATCTAATAGTTGTAGTTTTTCAGAACAGGCACACAATGATCACCAAATCATGGTCCTGTAGGCAGGAAACCACAGGATAAGTAGTCACACTCATTCTTCTCCCTCCTCTAATCACCTGCCAGTGCTTCTTGCAGGCCAATCCCCCACAGAATGCTAGAGGGCAAGGGAGCTCACGGGTGTAATCTACAGAAGTTATCCTTCTTGGCACTTGGTGGAGAAAGCTAGAAAATAGATCAGGAGGGCAAAGGAAGAATACTTGACACAATTTATTTCCATTTTACAGGTGGGGAAAACTGAGGCTGAAAGGAATTAAGCAATGTGCAGCTAAAAAGTACAAGTCCCATCCAATCTGATTCATTCATTCACCTGTCCATACATATTCCCGCAGTGCCAGTCTTCGTAGTAGGTTTAAGAATATATCCTCCATGCTTTTTACATGAAAGAATAAAACCTAATGTGAACAGCCTCTGTTGATTTATGATTTCTGGTATATGTAGGCAAACCTAATCCTACACCAGCTTAATGTGAAAAATCACTTTGGTGTAGAAATGTTCATAACCTGACGTAAGCGTGGGTGATCCATAAAAGCACTTCCATATGTTTAAAAGTCTTTTGGGTTTTATATATATACACATCACAAACTGGAGATTGGCAATTTGGTACATGAGATAGCTAAATTAACACAGCACACATTCATAAAATATCACTAAAATTTCCATTCAATTTGCATAATAAAATCCAGCTTGAGTCAAATGATAATATAAAAAATATCAAATGTGTATAGGCAGTGCATTTCATAATATCACTTATTCCCTGTTTTCTTGACTATCAGGGTTTTTTTAAGTCCCAGTTTCTAAACTTCTAGAATGACCCCCCCCCCATATGTGTTGCATTTAAGAAAACCCAGTAGACACATAACCTGGGTAATTGGCACAGAGAATGAGGAGTAGCTTGTGACTTCCTCTCAAGTTACACATTTAAGGTAGCCAGCATCTTTGTCCCCAGGATGACTTACCTCTTGGAAAAATCATGGAAAGGTTCATTTTAGATGACTTTCAATTGACAGTTCTTTCTTGGACCCCCCAAAAGCAGACTCCTCTGACACATACTGAAGAAAGTATAAGACTTGCCAAGTCAAGTATTCCTTCTGATGCCACAGGCTGCTTCTGAAACCCTCTAGCCTATAGTCTTTTGGCAAGCATGAATGAGGGAGACCCCAGTCCATCAAATCCCCCAACCTCCAAGGAACTCTTATCAAGTCCTGGGTGATACCTGTGAGGGCCTAACTCTTCAGGTTTAGAGTGAAGGAACACCTTTCCTGTCTCTACCCTCTGGGAGTGAGATCACAACCTGCACTCTCCCTCCAGATGATTCTGACACATTCTAAATGCTTTTGTCCAGGTCTTCTCAAAAAAATTTTTTTGATTGTTTGTCTTTATATCTTTAAGGTGAATGAGAGACCACGAAATTCAGTTTCTGCAGAAATGCTTTGCATGTTCTACCTAACTAGTTTGTCTCTTCACTTTGAATTAAAGTTGAAGATTGTAGATCTTAGATCTTCAGTCAAAAATAAAGAAAAGTCTTTAGTGTCAAACAGCTCACCTCCTCCAAGGATAGTATTTTTGTATAATTGACAAAAAAGACAAAAAATCAGCAGCTGCAAGAACAGGTAACACCCAAGACTTTTTTAGCAATCTTGCTCTTTAAAAGTCATCAAAAAGTCCATTCTTATTTCTCAGCAGTAGTTTTGCCCTTGAAAATACTGGTCCTCTTTTCACATCTAGGTTAACTCAGTAGTGCCACACAGAGTCTTAAAGGATCCCAGAGAGTTCCCCACAAATACAACCATCATTATTTTGAACAAATGAGACTTGCTAGGTATAATAAAAAACTAATTCAATTTCCTCCCCACTGCCTGTTCAAGCAAGCTTTTATAGGATGGTTAAATTCCTGTTCCTAGAAGAAATAAATCTTGATCAAGTCTCATTTTTTTTGTCTGATTACTCTAAGGTAACAAAACCATTTCTTGTCACAAAACAGTCTTGGCTACATAATGAATAGTAGACAAATAATCACAAAAGGACATTCATGCTGTCCGGTGTCTGGGGAAAGGAAAGAGTAGAACAGGTGGAGAAATAGAAAATCAACAAACCTCACCCTGTCCTTCACCTCCCAATTCCCTCTGCAGACTTCACTGGCCTGAAGTAGGCTTTAGCTGGTGGAGGAGAAAAGTTTTAACCTTAAATGAAATCATCATTTTGATGAGATATTTAATTATTGAAATATGAGCAATAGGTTTTTATTACCTGAGAGTGACTAAAGAAATTATAGTATCTGTATAAGATCTTATCCAAGGAAAAAGGAAGAACTAACTCTATGGAGCAGTGTAAATAGACAGTGGAAGCAAAGAATATGGGCATGTGTGTGTGTGTGTGTGTGTGTGTGTGTGTATACACATGTGTGCACATGCCCATGATTGGGCCATTTAAATTTCATTTCTTTAACATAACAGTTATGCCTGCTTAAGTAAACTAATATATGTGAAAAATTAATATCTAGTCTAAGAGTTACATTAGGACATGATTAGTGACATATAATTGCAGCAGCAAAGAGAATGATGGGATTCAAAGGGTGTGTGGCTTGCTTTCATTCCTGTCCCAAATCCCTAGAAATGACAGAGAAGATATTTGCTAGAATAAATGATCCCACAGATGTAGCAAAGTACATTCATTGGCCAAAATTTATACAGAATTTCCTGAAACAGGAAAGGCAGATGCAGTTATGCTGATTCTGAAAAGACAATCCAAAATACTTCCAGGAAGTGATGCTCAAAATGGTGGCATCCACTTCAACTTCAGAGACTATGGAGGCAGGGAGAAAAGGAAGCCCTAGCTCAGCAATCCACTGCCCCCAAATATCTTACTATTAAAATGGCAATGAAAATTACTTCATCTATAAAAATTTGATCCATATGTTCCATTCAGGTACTTAGATGTAAATTCAAGGAGCATCTGTTAAGATTCTACTGGTTAAATCACTATTCTACTATGTCAAAGAAAAATATCTGAACTAAGTAAGTAAATTATAATCTAATATCTTAGATCTAGTATAATTATATCTTTTTAAATTCCTTTTAGAGTCATTAATTTCAAAATATCCTATTTTATCTACAAACACCTCATATTTAGGCCTATATGTAACTATTCTTTTTAAAGTTTTGTGTTATTTTTAATTGACAAATATTAATCAAATGTGTGTGTGTGTGTGTGTGTGTG